TCAAGGTGTTGTGCTGGGATTTGGCCAGCAGATGGCAGAACCAGTGCAGACCAATGATCCTATGGGTTGATTGACTTGGCGAATTAGAGCTCCCAGACAACTGGGGAGGTGGGTTAAGGGGAGTGCCTACCTCATAGAATATTAAAAATTTTAAATTATACTGTCTTAAAATCCTAGAAGTTTATTTAGTCTAATCCTGGGTGTGTGTAACGAGATAAGGCAGTCCCCAGATTACGAATGAGATCTGTTCTAACTCTGTCTTTAAGGAGAATTTGTAGGTAAGTCAGAACAGGTGCATACAGTTCTTATTTAGCCTTACTTCAGTGCAAGAAAAGGCTTGAAGTCTTTTTAATGATTTAAAAGCTGCACGTACAGCAGATGAAGGTGATTGTGATGAAGAATTTGTTGGGAGTAGGGGTTCGGTCAGTAGTTTCAAAGTGAGGGCAAATGTACATAACATTGAAGGGTAATATGAGTTGTCTGTAAGTCAGATGTTGGTAACCCAGGGAATGCCTGTACACAGAGGTCCTACTTTTTGAATTCAGACCAATGAGCAGTTTCAGGACCTGAGATCCCTGGCGCTGCCCTGGTATCTGCAGCCCTTTTGAACTTGTGAGCTACCCCATGATCCTCTCAATTGATTCCTTTTTTGTTTACGCTGATACCCATTGGGTTTCTGTAACTTGTAAACAAAAAAATTTTTATTATTAAGCCCCATGAGCATGAATGACTGTGTGAAGGGGGGCCTCCTCCACAGATGGGGATACTGAGATTGTAGAGCAGCTTTGCTTGCTGCCCCATCTGTTTTCACCAGGAAGTTATTCTCCCCACATTTCTGCCTCCAGGGCTTCCCTTCCTTGTCTTGTTCCCAGAGGTACCCTAATCTCCCATTCACTCTGCCCATCTAGCTCTGTCCTGTCTTTAAAGCCCAGTTCAAGTTCCACCTTTCTCTGACACCACTAGATCTACTCAATCTCATTTCTCAAAACCCTTACAGCATTCATCACCTGACTGTTCTTATACTTGGTTGCATTCCATATTTTATTTGGGAGTTTGGGCTGGTTGGTGTCTAAAACACCGTACATCTGTAGACTTCTGAATCCATTGTCTTCCCATATGTCATATCTTCTTAAGCAGGTCTTTACCTCCTCCCTCAAGTAGAGGAAGGGTGAGCACACACAGGGGGCTCAGCACAGATTTGCAGGGCATCAACTAACTGCTTGTTATGAATTGAATTTTGTCCCCCCAAAAAATGTATGTCAACTTGGCTAGTCTATGATTACCAGTATTGTATGGTTGTCCACCATTTTGACATTTGATGTGATTTTCCTATGTGTTGTAAATCCTACCTCTATGACGTTAATGAGGTGGAATTAGCAGCAGTTATATTAATGAGGCAGGACAAAATCTACAAGATTGTGTCCTAAATCAATCTCTGTTGAGAAAGAAGTGAGCAGAGAGACGGGGGGACCTCATTACCACCAAGTAAGAAGAGCCAGGAATGTGCGTCCTTTGTACCTGGGGTCCCTGCGCTGAAAACTCCTAGACCAGGGGAAGATTGATGACAAGGACCTTCCCCCAGAGACAGAGAGAAAGCTTTCCCCTGGAGCTGGTACCCTGAATTCAGACTTGTAGTCTCCTGTCTTAGTCATCCAGTGCTGCTATAACAGAAATACCACAAGTGGATGGCTTTAACAAAGAGAAGTTTATTTTCTCACAGTCCAGTAGGCTACAAGTCCAAATTCAAGACACCAGCTCCAGGGGAAGGCTTTCTCTCTCTGTCGGCTCTGGAGGAAGGTCCTTGTGATGCATCAGTCTTCCCTTGGTCTGGGAGCATCTCAGTGCAGAAACCTCAGGTCCAAAGGACGTGCTCTATTCCTGGCATTGCTTTCTTGCTGGTATGAAGTTCCCATGGGTCTCTGCTTGCTTCTCTCTTTTACATCTCAAAAGAGATTGGCTTAAGACACTATCCAATCTTGTAAACCTCATCAGTATAACTGCCACTAATCCATCTTATTAGATCATAGTGATGGAGTTTACAACATACAAGGAAATCACCTCAGATTACAGAATGGTACACAATCATACAATACTGGGAATCATGACCCAGCCAAGTTGACAGATATTTTTAGGGGACACAATTCAATCCATAACACTCTACCCTTCGGCCCCCCAAAATTCATGTCCTTGCCACATGTAAAACATATTCACCTCATGATATTATAGTAGAAGTCTTAAATCAACTCCAAGTCCAAAATCCAAAAATTCCTCTTCATCTGTGAAATCTAGAATACAAGTTATTTGCTTCCAAAGGTACAATGGCAGAACAGGCACAAGCTAGACATTTCCATTACAAATGGGAGAAATTGGAGGGAAAGAAGGCATAACAAGCACCAAGCAAGTTAGCAGAACACATTACATTAGCTCTCAAGGCTTTGAAAATAATCTTCTGTTCTCTGAGACAATTTACACAATAGCCCTGCCCTCCAGACTCTAGGTATAGGCTACAGTCTCCGGATTCTGCGTGGAGGCCCCTCAGCCCTGGGCTTCAGCTCCGCCTTCCAGCCCCACTGGGACAGCAACTCTGCTCCCTTGGCTTCAGGCGCACACGTGTACAGTCCATCAGAGTGACAGCTCCACCCTTAGAAACACTAGAGGCCATGGTTCCACCCTTTGAAACCCCTGAGATTATGGCCATACCTTTTGAGACTGAGGCAGCTTGGCTTCTTGTGTTCCTTGTCTCTTCAGCTTCTGCTTTCTTTGGCCTCTCGGCCCCTCTGGCCTCATGCCCACATCTGCCCTGCTGGGACAAGTGTTTCAAAGCTCTGTAGCTCCACTGATAAGTGCCCGGAGGCACCCGACTCTGCCAGGAAGCCTCCTGTGCAGAGGCACTCAGCTCTCTCGCTCTGTGGGTCCGCTCAGCACCATCTCGTGCTGGTCTCCTAGTTCTGCTGCTGCTGGTTCTCTGCCACTGTTGCTTCTCTGCCACTGCAGGTTCTCTGCTGCTGCTGGTCTTCTGCCGCTGCCACTGTTCTATCCATTCAGTTTCAAAACCGCTTCCACATTTTAGGTATCTGTTAGAGCAACACCCCATTCTCAGTACCAAATTGTCTTAGTCATCTAGTGCTGCTATAACAGAAATACCACAAGTGGATGGCTTTAACAAAGAGAAGTTTATTCTCTCACAGTCTAGTAGGCTACAAGTCCAAATTCAGGG